GCTATTCATAGAGTATTTTATTTTCCACTTCCTATTTTTTTCGATTTGTATTCTAATACGTACAAATCATAGAAAATAAGGGAGTGGTGTGTAATATGCAATATTAAACCCCGATTTCTCTATTTTCAATCAATACTTTCAGATAAACCAATCATACTCTGGTGATTTAAGCTCTATTTCGCGCTGTTTTTGTTTGCCCCACATTGGTTCTGATAGTACTATCCGCGCATGTAACGACCATAGAGTGCAATTGCACCTGCGGAACGTAATTAGCAGAATGATGGCGATGATTAATCTTTCTGGTTGGCCAATAATACAGGCATCTACTAATTCACACTAAATCTAACTTACATCCGAGAGACGCTGTTAGTACTCTCTTCGATCAATACAGTCATTAGCCTGTCACGGCGCATGCTTATGTGTCAGCATCGCTTTTATTTCCCGAAGGGAATCGTCGCTCAGACTCATACAATCGCGATACGTATGTTGTCTGTCGTCTAGTAATAACTAGTATAACGCCATATTTCGCGGCAGGATATGTTCGCCGAGAATCAGACTTGACCGACAATATTCGCGAGTTGGTGTAATTTCGCGATCGTTGAATATGAATTCAGTGTCGTATCATTCGTATGAATTATTCGCGTGCCTGGTTTATTTTTGCTGTCCGGGACACAATCGGAATCGCGAAAATTAAACCCCCCGAAATATAGGCCTACAGCGTAAACAGTATACGAATTGCCCTGCAGCCCGCCACCCACGCCTGCTGCTTTATCCACACAGACAAGACACTCCGTAAACAAGATCGTCTACTGCATACCGCATCCTCCTCCTCGCTCGTCCGTGCGAATCTAGTTGTCCTACCGCTAGAGGCGTCTCTTTGTTTCTTTAAATGTCTATGGCATACAGCGTTATGCTGGTCGTGTCGCGTGCGGCGTGAGCTCTCTCTCTCCTCTCGTCGTCTCTCTACTTCCATTCTCTCCCTCTCTGTCTCTCTATCTCTCTATCCTCTCTCCCGTCGCTCCAACCTCTCTCTCTCTCTCTCGTCTCTCTCTCTCTCTCTCTCTTTTTCCTCTGTCCTCTCTGAACAGCACGTCTCTCTCCCTGTCTCTCTCTGTCTTCCCTCTCTCGTCCACACTCTCCCTCCTCTGCTCTGCTCCTAGGCCGCTAACAGAGCAGCTCAGACAAGAGATGCAAGTCGTTTCCGGACTGGTGACAGGGGACAGTCATGGGGCAAAGACACGCCGGAAGTGATGACGTTAAACCCAATAATCAAACGTTCTCGCTTCCCTTCTCTTCTCTTTCTTCTACCCCTCTCTTCTCACTGCAGCTCTGTTCTCTCCCTCTCCTTTTGCCCATCAACCATCACCGACTATCATCATCCTTATTGCTCATTGCCGATAGATAGTAGATAGTTAGATAGATTAGGATAGATAGATAGATAGAGTAGATAGATTAGATAGAATAGATATATAGATAGATAGATTAGATAGATATGCTAGAAGATATGATAGTATAGATAGATAATAGATAGATAGGATAGATAGACTAGGTGTGTTAAGCCATTATTATAAATTAGAAATAGTTATAGTATGAATTTGTAAATAAGGCCCCCCTCTAAAAAAGCCTACCACTCCAATTCAGCCTGGTCGGGTGCAGGGCAAACAAGCTTTTTTTGTAATTGTGAGCCACTCGTTATAATAATGCTATAATGAGGTACACCGCTCGCGGGGGTGGGGCGTGGAGGCGCGAGGGGGGGACGGAGGCCGCGGGGGAAGCCGCGTGGTGGAGGAAGGCCGCGGCGGGAAGCCGCGCGGAGAGGTCGCGCGCAGAGTCCGCGGGAGGAGAGCCCGGGAGGAGGCCGCGGGGAGCCGCGGAGGGAGGCCGCTGGGGGAGGCCGCGGGGGAGGCCGCGGTGGGAAAGGCCGCTGGGGAAGGCCGCAGGGAGCGTGTGATGGCCGGGATGCGCCTTTGCTTTGCAAAAGTTTCCATTGCCGCCCGGTCTTACTCTCAACCGGGCTCGCGTACAACGGCGCACTAAACCGTTATAACACAACCGTGAGACTGTCAAGCAGCAGTAACATCATCATCATCATCATCAGCATCATTACCATCATCGTCGTCGTCATCGCACGTCATACGTTATTAGCAACAGCAGCAGGCAACGGTAGCAGTAGCAGTAGCACCAACCACCGCGGACGCACGCACGCACGAGCACGCATATATATATACACACAATTATATATATATATATATATATATATAATTTATATATATGTCTGTGATTCTTATACTGTATATAGCAGGAGTATAGCATGCAGCTGTATATAGCAAGAATGAAGGCAAAGTGTTACGTACATTTGTTTTTACCGCCTTTTCCAATGCGTCTATCCTTAAAGAAGTTGCGACTTCGCATTGAAGTGATGGCGTCGGCTTCTGCTGTTGCTGTTGTTGTTTCCGTTGGCGGCGTTACTGAGGTGACGTTAAGCAGTCGCTGAAAGAGCGTCATATTATCATAATATCGTTATAACGCTGCCACACCTAGGCCAAAAGAACTAGTGTCTGTATGCGCTTATATATATATGTGTATATATATATATAATATATATATATATATATATATCAGGAGTAGATAAAGGCTTATTCTACTCTATTATCTACTCCTGATATATATATTATATAGTATTCTTAATATCACATATTCCGTTGCGATCGAATTCCGTCCTCATAGTCTCTCAGTCTCGTCCTCTCTCATCTCATTCCTCTCTCCTCCTCTTCTCCCATCTCTCGATGCTCGTCTCTCTCGTGCTCTTCTCTGCCTCTCGTCTCATCCGTCTCTCTTTCTCTCGTCACCATCTCTCTCCATTACGCTCGATCTACTACTGCTCTTCTCTTTCTCCTCCCTCCCCCTTTCTCCTCTCAGTCTCTCTCCTTCTCGTCGATCCTCCTCCCTCTCTCTCTATCTATCTCTATCTCTATCTGGTGTCTTTTCTCCTTACTGGTGTCTCGATGTCTCCGATCATTTTTTTTTTTTTTTTTTTTTTTTTCTCTTTCTCGCACCGGTCTGTCTGTTCTGCCGTCTGGTTCCGATCTGTCTGCTTCACTGTAATCATCTGTCGCTATCCCAATAAGAAGATAAATATAAACACATAATATAGGTTCGATCAATTGCGCGCATGTCTGATTCGCGTCAATACATGTCATACGTGCGTCACTTTGCCCTTACTGACATCCGCTTCGCTACAAGTCCTTGGGGTTTTGACTCTGCCTGTGCTAGTAGGCACTTTGTATCCGGCTTTTCCTATAACCAGTGAGTTGCTGCTGATATAACCATTATATTCCCTTATAAGCAGATACACAAGTCACACACACGACTCGCGCATAGCATACACACACACACACGCACAAACACACACACATCACACACTACACACACACACACGACCAGTACACACATATACAGCACTACATAGACAGCCCCACACACCGAAACACGCGACACACACACACACACACAGAACATACACACACAGCGCGCGCGGCGCGGCCGGCCACATACACACACACACACACAAGCACGGTCACACAACAACTCACAGACACACACAACCCAACACACATACACAAGACACCACACAATACACACACAGAACACGACACACACACACACCACAGCCACACACACACACAACAATCACACACACACAGCACACACAGCACACACACACACATATATATACTTACGTATTACTATTATATATATTATATACACACATGATATACATGCACCAGTCACAGGACGCGTCGCGGCGTAATATGGTATATATCAGTTAATCCCGTCCGCCAGTATGGGAAATAACTGCATCGCACACATCGCAGCAAGGACGTTCAGTATCTCAAATAGAGTCGCGCTAGGCAAATGTAGAACTGTTTACATTAATACTCAACTGGATTTGGATGCGCTTTTATGTGAGTAGTCTAATGGGATCGCACAGTGATGTGAACATTTTACATAAATCGATCTTGTTGGCGTTTGCGACAGAACGCCACTGTCGCCATTTTGTCCTAAATGATGTTGATAAATTCACTACATGTGATTGAAAAAGTAGAGTAGACACAATTATTAAGGAGTAAAACCGTACTAGCTGTAGAGCTGAATAAAAAATCAGTTGTACGGAATGTAGATTTTTGACATTCGATATCGTTAGTATATTTGTCCCAGAATAGTGCACGAGAAACCTCTGCCCGCAAGGGTTGATCAGCAGCCAGCAAGGTTATGTTAATATCAGAAGTAGATAATAGGAATCTAGTATTTATTAAATTGTTACTTTAAAAAACTAATATTAGTAGGTCTATTAAACTAAAACTATGCCTGCTCTTGGAAAAGGCCTTGGATTTTTTTGCGGGCAAAACTCGAAATTAGAGTGGCACTAATTTGGCATTATGCACCAAGAGAGATGCCTTCGTGGACGTTCCTAGAACGTCATTAGAAGTAGATGCTCGTCCGTGTAATCTGTGCCATCCAGTCTAAGTGGCGTATCCATGGTGCGCGATTCGCAATTTTGTGGTTGACACGTGGGATCCGAGCTGCTTGAGGTGGGAGTACTGAGTTGTGAGTGTTGTACAACAGTAGTATGGCTGTCAATTATTACGCCCTGCCACTCCGGCGGTGTGCAGTTCGTATTCCACACAGGATCGCGCATGGCACGCGCGGAAAGAATGCAGCGGGTCGATGTCCTGAAGCAGTTTCACGTTCAATCCCCACCAGTACCTTGGCTAACTGACGTGGGGTGTAGTTTAGCAAATATAAACGCGATGCTAATTTATCAGAACAGGTACAGTTAATATA